TCTTCTTTTAAAAGCAAAATAAACTTGTTCTTTCAAAACTGAATTCTTAGCCTCCCTGCACTTTTCCATCAAATTCGATTGAATATTTGAGCAGTCTCTTATGTACCACACAAATAATACACACTCAAGCAGAGACACGATTTGTGGCTTAATTGCACCTTCATGCATTTTACAGACATTTACTGCTAAGCATTTAACTCAACTTTACATGTGGTCTGTAAGAAAAAGCTAGCAGTCAATACAGGCTGCCAAAAGAATTGCTCACTCTTGAGAAATAAGGGCCCTTATTTAGACACCTGACTTTGGATATCTTTAATACCATTGCTTAACAGGCTAGTGAAATGAAAGCTCTTCCATAAGAAAAGGTTTAAAAAGATGTGGCAGTTCAAAGCAACAGGCACATCAAACTTGTACTTTGCAAATATCAGCAAGAAAATCAACCTACCTGTAGGAAGAACTGGTAATGGTTTTCCTTCCAGCTTATCCAAATCCGTAGTAAATAATGGGATTTTGGGATCATCATATGCAACGACCTCCCTTTATAATATACATAAGACTTATTTTCTTAAATAATTTAGAATAAATTTTTATGTTTATTATTATATATAAATGTATATGTTTTAATATATCATTTATTATCGTTCCAATTTGGCAGTTACAACCGAAATGGAATTTCCAATAAAATCAGGTAAGGCAGCATTTATGGTACAATAACTGGTAAAATTTTATGTAGAAGACTTGTCTCTGATGAAGATTACTAGAGAATATTAATTAGCAAGAAGTTTCTTTTCATAACTTCTGTTTTCCCTCATGGACTGTCAGGATTTCCAGTTACACAAGTAGTTTATGAAGTTATAGTAAAAATTGTGTCAACACTAAGCATTTGTTTTGGGGGAAGGAGGAGGGGAGGTGAAGCCTTCATTTTGAAGAAAGCTATCTAAACTTCTTTGAAAAGACTTAAATACCTTTTCAGCCTTGTCATTATATACAGAATGATTCCTATTAAATGAATGGCAGAAGTAGAATACGTAACTGGGAAGTAGATGAGCTTTAAACATTACCACTAATTAAAATAAAATATAAACTTTTGTATTTTTGTCTCCCTCCAAAACACTTTTTTCTATGCATCAGTGATCAAGTCTTTGCACATTTGTACAGCCACCTGTTTAAAAGGTATTTATTCTGTTGCCATGACAACTAGGTGGTATCTCTAACAGTGATTTACAAGGTTTAAGCCATACAAATCTTTCTGACTGACAGATAGGTAACTGGAGACCAACTTTCTCACAGGAAGACTAGAAAAAAAATCCTGTTTTGAATATTATCTATCATGGTTTCAACATAAGTAATTATCTATGAAGTGTTCAGGCAAGCCCTTGCAAGGAGTGTAGCAACTAGTCAGATGTCTTGACACTCACACATCCCAGAACCAGAGGGCCAAGGAAGAAGTAAGGCTGTGGTTCAACTTCAGCTGCGTAAAAAAACATGAGGGAAATGCACAGAGATTCCTCCTTACCTATGATTCAATCTACATATACATCCCATGGGCCAATCTAACAGTTCTTGTACTTGGTCATCCCACATATACCCTCTGCTGTCAATTCAACTGTAATTTCCTTTATCCTCCTACTTACCAACTGACATTCTGAGGTCGAATGATAATTTTTCTGTATGCTCCAGAAAGTGAGTAATCTCTGATCCTGTGCCTCATGTTGTTGATATCAAGATTGTCAGCTACCAACATTTCCTTGTAGGCCTCACCAACTGCAAGAGAGGAAATATTTAACAGGAGACAGTGTAGTATGGCTGATTGAAACAGCCCATTTTCACAGATCATTCCTTCCCTTACATTTAGTAGTGCTCAGCATACATGGGATAAATGTTACACAGAAGTTTAAGATTAAATATTGCAAGTCTTACTACCTACAATGCTTGCTTCTAAAACCTGATTAGTAGAGTCAGTAACCAAGAATCTTAGCAAATCAAGAATCACAAAATATTTTATTGACATTTCATTGACTTCTGATATATGCTTTCCAATTACCTAAACTTCACAAGATTAACCTCAGGTATGGGGGAGGCAGCGAAGGGCCAGACTACACATTGCTCTATCTTTGAAAAAGCAGCAGCACGAAACAATTTAAGAGAGCCCTGTGAAGAAATTAGCTGGTAGAGACCTTTAAGTACACTGCCAACAAAACCAGTAATTTTATGACTGTCTTGTATCCTTGAATAAGGGCATGTGCATGCACAGCTGGGCAAGACAGGGAAGACAATGGAAATACAAGAATATACTGCCGCTAAAATGCTGCCTTTGATTCGCAGTGCAATTGCTAGCATTACTTCATGCAGTTGGGAATTTTTAGCAGGAGTAAGTTAGGCTTACTATGGGCAAATCCCAGTATAAATAAATTAAATGTAAAAAAACTGCAGCTTTTCTTTCCAATTTTTTACCTCCATGTGGTTCAGTGTCAAACCTTATCACAAAGGGATCCTTACCTTCCAAGTGTTTCAGAGATGGGTGACAAATGGGATCCTAGGTCTAGGACATATCTCTTGACAGGCAGAGTGTCTTAAGAGACCTGACGGGTCTTTTAAGGACAACCAAGCACAAAAGCAGTTCAATCAAATATTGAGGACAACAAATATACGTACTGGGAGGCTGCTTTGGCTAAGCAGAGAACTCATGACTCAAGCAGGGACAAGCTCATATGTAAGGACACATACAGTAGGTGAAAGCTAGGCCCAGCTACAAAGAAGGAATGTATGAACACTGTCCAGGCATGTAGGGATAGTGTTAGGAAAGTCAAAGCTCAGCTACAGTTGAAGTTTGGCCACAGGTATCAAGAGCAACAAGAGTTATACCGCAAATGAAGTGATTACACCTGCAGATGAAGAGAGAGCAGTGACTGTTGCCTACCTTGCCTTTAGCAAGGCTGTCTACATGACCCCACAGCATCCTTGTATCCAAGGTTAGAAGGTTACAGCAGGTGGACTGCTAGATGGGTAAAGAACCATCTGGCTCATCTTCTCAAAGGATAGTCACTAGTGGTTTGATCTCTACCTAGAAGCTCATTACAAGCAGAGCTCCTCAAGAAACAGGGATGTGTCCTGTCAAATCCCTTTATCAGAACCCATGGAGGAGGAGCTGAAATTCGTCCCAACAGGTTTGTAGACAAAATCAAGCTAGGGTGGCAGACAATACACCCAAGGGCAGGACTGCCATTCAGAGGGACCTAAGCAGGCCAGAGGAATACGTCAAGAGGAACCTCATGAAATTCAGCAAGGACAAAGTCCTGTACCTGTGAGTAATTAACTCCTTACAATGGTACAGGCTAGGGAACAACTCTACGGACAGCCACCTGGGACTCCCAGTGGAAAGGAGAATTCACAGAGCACCCAGGCAGCAATAAATGCTATGAGCTACAGGAGCTTAGCAGGAGCTACCCCAAGAAAAACAATTACTGCCCTTCACTGGGCACTCATGAGACTACACTTGGAATACTGTATCCAGTACAGAGTAAGTGCTGTCAGATTGAGTCCAATGAAAGACCACTCCAATGGCCAAGGGTTGTAGCATGTGCCCTGTGAGGACAATCTGAGAGAACCAGGCCGCTTTAGCTTAGAGAAGAGAAGACTCAAAGGAGAACTCAGCAACTATTCATTCTTGAAGCTTTTCAGACCACATAGGACAAAGCCCTGAGCAAGCTGGCCTGAACACAGCACTGACCCTGCTTTGACCAAAAGAGTGGACCAGATGGCCTCTTGGGATCCCTTCCAACCCAAATGATTCTACAACTCTATCCCTTAACATCACGTTCCATGCAGATAATCGTACATCACTGAACATAGTCCAATAAGAACAATTTAAATACAATACAGTTTATATACAGGAGATGAAAGATACAGTTTTTTTTTAAACATTCATACTGGTTAATATTTAATTAAACAGATCTGGTTCTTTTTCCTAACTTCAAGCATTTGCCTGCATTACAAATTCTAGAGGTTTGGTTTGTTTTCTAATATAAAAATCAAATGCATACACTTTTCAATTAATATTTCACCATTTTTTACTGAGACAACATTATTTTTCTTTGGAAAAGCTACTAGCTAAAAAGAAATATGAAACAGATCTATGGTAAATGAAGCAAGTTACAATGCAGACTATTATTATCACAGTGGGAGAGGCTGACACCAATGTGTCAGAGCTCTGAAATAGTGTGGTCACCAAGATTGCATACATCTATCTTCTTTTTAGGAACAATCTTAAAGCAGACTTACATTTTCAGAGTGAGTATGTAAGTTAACAGTCAGACTTACTTTTATGCTTTGGATAAATAACATCAAATCCAGGCAATGGCATCACTACATCGTGGATAGTGTAGTTATCAACATCTCCCTCTTCAATATGAACAGCTGTGGCTACAATCAGGACAAAAAAAATGAAGAGTTACCAGTATGCATGTAACAGTTAACATTAGCTAAATTTAAAATAAACTATTTAATAGAAACAAGCCTACTTTGATAGGGATAACTACTGTGTTTTATTTCCACTTAATAGACATTAAGGAAAGAAATAAGTCTTCAAGACTGTCAGTTACTGGCAGAAGCACAGCCTGGTTTTCAGTGACTTTTAAAGCTGACTGAAGTAAGGACTGCTATATGAACAGTCCCCTATGTATGCATCAGGCATACACGAAGGAGAAATCCTGTGGATATTCTCACCCCAGGGAAGTGCCAGAGGAAATCCAAGCAAAGAAAATTTTAACTGAGTGGAGTCTCTGCTTTACAAGATACTATGCAAGCAAGAACTTCTGTGGTTAAAACATTTGTACCATCCTTCCACAGTTCTCCATAGCTCAGCTAGGTTTGAGTTCATTCTTGAGAACCATCAGTCCTTCATAGTCTCTCTTCCCTATCCAACTATTTGGAAAAACAAGCAAACCAACAGCTCATGGAATACCTAACACTCGTGTAATACCTAACTTCCATTTCCTTGCAAAATTAGACTAAAACTGGCCAATGGATCCATAAATCACAAAATGAGGGATAGGGAAAAGAAAACATGTATGCAGCATCACAAACAGATGTGTGCCTTATTTTCTGAGCAATTTGAACTACACAGCATCACTGGCTTTTTGTTTCTCTGATTTTACCTCCTTTAAGTGTGAGATCTCCTGGTACAGCTCTAAGCCCGTATTCTTCTATTCTCTTGCTCACCATATTATTCCACACATAACTCTGGTAGCTATGAATATACATTAAACGATTATTTCTCGGTATCTAGAGGCAAATTAAAAAAAAAGTAAAAAAATTAGAAAGATGTATTTTTAGTTTGTTTCAATCTTAACCAAAAAGGCATATATTTGAAATGTTATCTTCTCCAGCAAGAAGACTACAACAAATTCTTGCTATACAGATCTGAATTTTGTTCATTATTTGCAAAAAAGAGTAAGCAAAGCAATACTGCTTTTACACATTTGAAATCTGCACAAAAAAACCTCCTGCACTTAAGTTGACAAAAAAGCTTTTAAAATTTTTTTCAACAGCTAATCAAACACATGGGGCTACCATAAAACACTGAATTCATACTCAACCTCCTGAAATCTTAAGTAAACTTTGCAGATGCAAATGCACAGTGTTATTCTAATTATCTCCTTCATAAACAATAAATTATTCCTTGGCTCCTACAATGGACCCAGTAGTTTGCTGGTGATGAGGTATTTTCTCCAAAGACTTGGTCTTAATTACAGTACTTGAAAATGACAGCAAATCCGCCACCTCTATTAAGCTGATTCATTAGCACACTATTGGTTTGATTTATAGTTCTGAAGCAACAGAAGAGCTCCAATACTGAACTTTTGCACAATTCTCTAATCTGTATGGCTGCTAAGTGTAACTGTACCAGAGAGATTGTTGTATGAATTGGAAAGCTCATTACGCATACATTAATTACAGATGTCATCGGTTACCATGCAACACAACTTTGAGCAAAACGGCAGGATAAATGTAAACATTTTAAACTTAACCTTCCACTCATCAAGCATCTATGGCTCTTTCAAATTCATCATGTTACCATCAAAAGAATGCCTATTCAAGTAAATACCCCATAGCACTTTTACACTCACTATGCCAAACGCAGAGATTATGTTCTTCATTCCGTATTTTAAGAGTCCACGTAGAAGCTGTCCTTCCACGCACCTTTTTACAGGTAGTTTCTTGAGGGCTGCTGCTGGATCTTTAGTCTTTGCCCATTCTTCTCTGCATTTTACTAAGTATCCCTTTTCAGCTAGAACAAGGATGTAAAATAAAAATATTAACTACACACCAAAAATGCATCCATCTCATCTTTTGTTAAAACAGTTGAAAAATTAAGGCTTTGGTCACAGTAATTACAAATTTTAACAGAATCACAGAACAGTCGATGTTGGAAGGCTTCACATGGAGTCTGAGCAGACTCTGGGTATAAGTATTCAGGTGCCTTTTCATCCCCACTGCAAGAAACTGCACAGCAAGGAAAGAGAAGCAGAAAGGTAGAGTCTGAAGATTGCTTCTTCATTGCTAAACTGTCTGAAGCTTAGCACATGCAAAGCTGTCTTCACAATCATCCTTTCAAATTAAAATAATCAAAATCTGAGTGTGTTTTTCCCAAACATACAATTCGTGGAGGAGGAGCGGCAGAACCACTTTTTCAATCCTTACCTCCTGGTCGTGGTTTTAATATCAAATCCATTACTTCATTCCAATTGTTCTGTAGAATAGCTCTAAGATTCAAACAGTAAAGTTTATTAAGAACTGACTAAATATATTTTAGGGAGATTTAGCCAACTTATATAAAAAAAATATTAGTGTTGAGATTTGTGATATTAAAAGTAGTGGCATTATGCAAGATACCTGCTCAAGCAAGGTCAGAAACAAGTTCTTTCTTGAATTTAAAATTAGAATTGGCACATGCAATATGCTAGGAAAAAGCATTCCCCAAAATACATTGGAAGTTATTCAGGGATAAAAATAAAATTAAAAAAAAATAAGATATGAAAACAACACAAACCTGCCAATTTGATATGTAGGAACAGCTGTAGTTCCAAATCTTTGCATTCCATAGTAATTAATGAATCCAATTTCCCTGAGAGAGTGCATTGCTTGCTCTATCTGGGCATCAGTTCCTGTTATGTTTCTAGCATTAAAAAAGTTATAGACAAATTATTAAGGACTTACACTATTCTGTGATCTCCATAACATTAAAGCTCAACATCAACATTACAGATTACTTAACAAATTCAGACTCCTGCCAATAGAAGGACATTTTTTGTAACACAAAATGCACTGATATCCCTTATCTATAAAAAAAACCAACAAAACCAAATTTAACAGAAGTTCCTAAACACATACTAACATATTACCTGAGAACAACAGTGAAATGGTTTCCTTGCAGTTCTCCTAATTTCAGTGGATGGTTCTTGTAACTGAAATTTCCTAATTTGAAGTTCATCAAACATTTATTCAAATGAGCAAGTCTCTGTGCAGTGATTCTAAAAAGAAAGGGGCAACAGTGACCAACCTGTGCTTTGAAAAGCAGAAAATGAAATAAATATAGAAATGCCAGCATTTCAAAACAAAAACCAAGGAGCCCAGTTTCCCCAATTTTCTACTGTTGCATTTTCAAAGTATTTTAATGAAATATCTAAAAGAAAAGAACAGATAATCCTTAAGGCTACTTGTACAAGAGAAAATGTATACCATGACAAAAGCTGCTAGTACTGACTTACCACATTTATGTTACAGTATGCACTCAAGGAGTACGTTGCAATATTGATGTATATTGAACCCTGCAAGCTGAACTCTGCTTTGTTTAACTACACCATGAGTACACTACAGTTAGCACAGTCGTAAACACAGAGTTAAGTAATTAGCCATTGTATAAGCTTGGTGCAGATGAAGGAGTACGAAATCCAATCTGTCACTGTTATCTGTCATTTTTGTCACTAGCATTTTTGAAAGTATACCCTGTTCTCTGCATCACCGAGCCACTCTTTGACACTTCTGCTAAAATTTATAGCACGATAAACAAGTTTATCAACTAGCCTGGCCAGCATACTCAGCTTCAAGCAGGTTGATAAATGGCGATGTCTCCTCTCCTGTGCCGCTCTTCTCCAAGGCTGCGCAGGAGAGTTGGGTGCTGTGGCTCTACTGACGACCACAAATCCGTACACTCCCCCCAATCAATGCTTGCAACACACTGAAGCTTTTGGACACATTAAATGTGATCATGTTAAAAGTAAACAGCACAGCACCTGAGACGGCTACACCACAAGTTTGGTTAATTGTCATCACTTTGCAAATTTGTCTTGCAGCAACAAGAATCAGAGCCAAATTAGCAATTCCTTTTATACATGGCAAACATATGCACATGCAAACCACTGGGAGGAAAATACGAACAATTAATTGGCAACTGTCCTCATTTTAACAAAGATTCTATCAAATTTCTGGCTCTAAAATCTTGGAATTCCTCACTTTAGGAGTGTGGTTCAGAGAGTTGTAAATAGAGCACGCCAGCTAGCTAAACACATATTGCAATATACGACTTGTAAGGCATGCATCATTCTCAGTTATAGATGTAACACCAATTTCAAGTGCCCAGAAACCATAAAATTATCTTGGAATATAGCAAAATAATTTTTATTTTCTTTTAGCACATGACTTAGTTTAAGGCAGGAAAAATTCCTCATAATTTTTTGCCCATTCTGGCTACTTACAGATGAGCCTAGACAGTGGATAGCCTTTTCTGGACCTGTTCAGAGTTCAGTGAGGAAAAAAAATAGGATTCCAGATGGAGGAGGGAAGAAAGAAGCGTGGAAGGAAATAGGACTTTCACTGTTATCCTGTTTCTCTGCTGTGGCATGGGAGCCATGCAGCCTAAGAGCACACAGGCAGTTTGGCCCACTGCTTCAGCCAAATACATGTATCCAGGGCACGACTCAGGGCACCACTGACTGAAAATACCAACAATCACCATGGAATAAGAAAGGATCAGAGCATCTTTATTAATACACGTGCTTTACAGGATGAGGAGCTGCATTTGTGTCACATACATACTTAATTTTCAAGGCATTCAGTGAGATATTCAAGCTATCACAGTAGAAGTGCAAGTACTGCAGTATACTTTCACTTACCTAAGAACAGCAATTTCTTGAACTGTTATAGCCCTTTTATCTTTAGTTCCCATGTAGGAAAATATGTTCGGCTTCACTCTTAAAAGCAACAGTAACAGATATTATGTATATTAAAATAGCCACAAATCGAACAGAATTTTCAGCACAATTAGAATTACTGAACTTCTGTATTAAAAATAGAAAAATACATATATCTCCCAGAACTAGGCTACAATCTGACATGCACATGACATTTTATAATCTCATCTATGAGTACGTAAAACACAGGGAAACTTCTGTTTTAATTATACGTAGACAGATTCACTTTTACCACACCTGTGCATTCAGAATATGAGCTTTGAAGTACTTCTTAATATACATCCATTCAATGCACAAATGTGTACCCATCACTAATTTCACTTTAAAAAAAATTCATGTCCATTTCTTCCTTAATCTTAAAATAATCTGCCTGTTTGAATACCACACATGCACATTATGTGAGAATGTGAGGATTTAAAATTTGATCAATTTCTTTCCTTGGGAGAAAAAAAATCCTTTCCTGTCCACTTTATACTTTACAGCCTGTGTTACACAGGGAATATTTCCAATTATTCCAGCCATAGACACCAGGGGGTAGCAAGATTGCCATAACATACATTTTCCCACCAAACTATTCTGTTCTCAAATAGAAATACTAGCAGTATACTGGTTAGACTCTAGATTAAACTCATCTATTTTTGGACAGGAAGGGTGAAGGGAAAAGGAGGGGAGAAGTTTCCTTGCAAGTAGATCACTGAATTGACCCCATTTTAAGGGTCCTTCCTCTGCAATTCACTGTTCACATCACGCCTTTGGCAAATCTGTTTGCTGCTGCACTCGATGGGGCGACAGGAACTGCGTTGCCATGGAGAAATTAATACATAGAACAACAGTTTATCAACTCTAACTGCTTGGCAACTGATCAGCATATTATCATAACAGTATCTGACAGGTTCATAACATACTTGCAAATATTCACACACCGGGGAAAAGCTGGCTTTTAATTCAGGTTACACACATTGAGGCTTTGAGCTGCCAAGCCTTTTGCAGATCAGCCACCTTCAATTAGGAGAGCACAGTCAAATTTCTTTGGATCATTTTGTCCCATCCTCACGTTCTTCCAAAACTTAAAAAGTCTCAAATTTTATATTATAACTTTTTTTTTTTAACAGTGCCTACAAATTAGGCAATAGCATCGCTTGCGTTGCTCCTACATAGAATTTCTGAAGCATAACATTTACAGTAACATGAAACATACAGGGGCAAGACTGCATGCTAGCCAGGCTGGCAGAAACAACAGCCTTACCTTAAAAATTTGGATAGGACATTAATAGCATCCATAGTATCCTTGTTTTCCTTGTACAGTACGAAGTGGCAGTAGCTTCCCCTAGATTTTGGCCAAGAGTGTTTTCTTGGATCTTGAAAAAACAAGAAGTTAAAATTTGTAAGATGCCATTTTTAAAAATTTAATTATTATCTTTGCCATTGCAGCTACATTTCAAACAAATATGCAAGAGTCAATTACTGGTAATTTCCATCTGCTTTAGAAAAGAAGTTAATTACTGACAGCAAAAGCTGTAAAGTACATTGAAAAAGACCTTCTCCCTTTCCACAGGCTGTAAACATCTCTTTAATCAATTCTTTCACCTAGAAAATATTAAAAGAAATTTTGACAGTTCCTCTGTAAATAAATTATCTAAAAATACACCCTGGTCATTTAACTGCCATATTGTCTGATTAAATTTCTTAAAAACATTAACATTACAGTGACTTTCAACAATAAAAGCTACTTCATATTTCATTTAGTGCCTTCCATAATTAATAGATGAGGACCATCAGAGCCCTGTTTGTGGAAAGAGTACAATTAATATTTATAGTACTAACATTCTTTATTTCTGTAGTAATTTTTCTGTGTCATGCAAAAGCATGGGTAGTATCTCTACAAAAGCCTAAAAATGGTATACTCACAAAAAATTACTTTCAGGTGAATTTTGTTTTTTAATTAAAAAATATATATTTGTGGGAGAGAGAAATCTGGCACAATAGAGATATTAAGAAACAATTCAAGCGAGGTACTGTATTTAGAGAAGGTCAGAGGGCAAAACATCTTCAGCACCTGCAGACTAACAACTGGCTTACTATTCTGTACAATTACTTGGTGCTTTCAGGAGAGGAAAAAAAGCCTGTCAATGTATTTGTCAGGCTTTGGTTACACATAAAAGCCTCCAGAGACAAGACTTTCATTTTACAATCATCCACTGTTGACGGCATTACTGGGAAGGGGGACTGAATTTTGAGGTGTTTAGCTTATCAATTCTTTGTTTTATAAAACCAAAACTAAGGATTTGGGTTTTTTTTTAAATAACATGTCCCTTGTATCTTGGTAGCCATCAAGCAGACATACCTAGTTCTGTACAAAAAGGGCTTAAGCATCTTTCATAACAACAAAAGCTAACTGAAAAAGCTAGTCCTATTCCAGTATATAAACACCAACGAAGGAAGTTCTTGGGAAATTTTGCTCTTTTTGTTCACATTAGTTTAAAGCCCAGATATCCCACACAGATAGCGAGTATGTTTAGTGTTCAGGAAAATTTATGGTAAAAGATAATCCTTCTTGGTTGTTTTGTTGTTTGTTGAGGTTTTTGTTTGCTTTTGGTGGTGGTGGTTTTTTGAGAAGCTGCCATCCATGCACACATTTCTGCAAAAACAGTTTTGGATGCTACAGTATAAAATACTTCACACGTAGTTTTTAATCACTTAAGAACTATTCCAACACTTGCCCTGTACCACCAGTTTCTAAGCAAAGCACCCCCTATGGAGTTTCCTAGGGCCTAAACTGAGCAGTAGGGTTAGAAATCTGCTAAGAGACCTCACGTTCCTGCAGCTCTCCCTCCTGAGCCACCACTGCTCTGTAACACAGGCAATGAAACACCTCCCTAAGCTTGCGGAGCAAGGTCCTTCATGAAGAACTCGGAAATCAGAAGGAAAGAGAGGAAAACAGAGCGCGAGTCTCATGGAAAGTCTTCTCCGTCTGGAATCGTTCCTTAAATGTAACAAATCCATCTTGCACACAGTCATTTCAACACCCTTCAAGAAGTGAGGCCTAATCTGGGCTTAACTAAAAGGACTTTATAGACACTATACATACCAGTGGGCACCTCATGCTTCGGGCCTACCCACCACGCAGACGGCCATGCTGAGTCCCAATATTTAACCATTCCTCACTCAATACTTCAAAGTATTCAACTGTGTAGATGGACCAGAGGTACAGTCTGTAGTCCTTACTGCCATGTTTCAAAGTCATGTTACATTTTTGACAGCAAAATCATACTTCCAAGCCCTTTATCCAAAATCTTTTGCTGCAACTTGAGGGCTGGAAGCAATTTTTTATTATTGGGATGTACGATATATACTTTTTAAGTTGTATAAATACAGATAGCGGTGTCTGATGTCTGAAAGGCAAGGGCTGGAGTTAATGAGATCAATGGAAAATTTAACATATATGCCAAGCAGTGTTGTCAAAAGTGATAAATCACACCACTTATTACTGGCCGACCTTCTCTGCCCTGAATGACTATTGCCTACACTGCACTAGGAAAAAGTGGTAGCACAAGACCAATTTTTGGATCTTTCAGGGAATTTTAAGCATTACTTATCTGTAGGGTTTTTTAAAGAATTAATTGTTAGTTTGGCCAGTCTTGTCACTAGGAGGTCATAATGGTTGGCATTTCATTTTCTTAGCATGAAATGTCAACATCTCTTACCTGTTGCAGTTCTGACCTCTGTCCCAATGCATAGCATAAAGAGCACAAAAGAGTAGCATTTAATTTTTAAACTGTCGAAGGGTTTTTAGAGGTGAACATGCAGGTTTATGGTTATGGGATTGTTTATGCTTTAGGGAGCATCCAACAGTTAGGTGGTGGATGACAGCAATTTAGACAGTTATGCAATGGAATCGTGCAGAGGCAAACAGTGAACATACGGAAAGCTTCAATTGGAGATGCAACAAACTTCATTTGTGGACAATGATGAAACAGCAGGTTACTGACAATTTAGTAAGGCAGTATTTTGAGTATTTGGGGTATAAACTTACTGTAGACACAAAGCAGCTTCTAATTTTAAATTTTAGGAACGTATGTTTGGTAACCTTTTACATTATCAAAAAAAGTAATCAGATATCTCAGCTAATACTCTACGCTTCTGAAATGTTTCTTGCCTGGAGAACCCACTCAGAACTAAGACATGTTACTGGCTACATAAACACAGAAAATATGTATCATCCTGACTAAAGAATTTGCACTCTTAGATCCCACATTCATAAGCATTTAGACACACTCACTGAAACCACACACGTCAACAACATGCACAGGTGGTTGTAGCATCAAAACTTAGGAATTCAGCTTTAAATAGATGATGCTTCTCTGCATCACAAGATGGTGCTTCAAGTAATGTTTTAATCCTAGAGACACATCACTAAATTCTTTTCAGCATATTTAAAATACTTAAATTCTTGTATACAGTATCTCTTAAATCAGACTGGTCAGCTTAATAACAACCACTTGACTGTAACAATGCTTAAAGAATAGAAGCAGCAGAAGGAAAAGGTGGAGGTAAAACCATTACAAACCAACAGAGAACAAAACTGGCTGAGGACAATTTTGTGCTGGTAAGTATACATAATCCATGCATAAGGCATGCAAACATATACATTTTCTAAACATGATTAAACAAGATGCATAAACACATTATAACTGTACCAATAAAAGTGTAACATTCCCGTATTTGCTTAGAACAAGCCTTAAAAAATAACGCAATTCCATGTGGAGATGGTGTTATTTCCAATTTTAAATTATCTCCTTATCCTTTTGCCATCCATTCATCTTTAAAATGAAAGGGCTAGATTTACATACAGACATTTGTAGTAGGTTGAAATTATATAGGAATGCAATCAGTTTAAACGAAACCACACCTTAATACCTTTCATTAAATGTGCAGCATTCCTCATGCAGACAATCCTCTAAACTTACAGTAGCAACAAATTTGTAATAACATTAAAAGATGTAGAACACGTGCATTTATTCCTAGTAACCAAAATAGTTTTTGGCAAGATTAAGATGGAGAACACTTAATTTTGAAAAATCTTTCACTACTTTGATTATTCCAAAATAGTAACTATGATTTATAATGAATAAAACCAACTTTCTGCAAATATAATTAGCCGTGGAAGAAGTAGCTATTACAAATAATGCTAAATATATTACGTTTACATAAAACTATAACTCTGAGAAAAAAACCCCCGTGCTTGTCTCTATTCAAGTCAGAGAATTATGCCATGAATTTAAGACAGTCAAGATTACCCTGACTGTCAGTGTAACGTACACATTTCAACTACAACCTCTTACTCCCACAATGCACACTTACACATCCAGGTAAGTTCACGAAAGCTAAGTTCAAAAAATACTGACAAGAAAGCTCCAATTTTGCCTGTTCCCACAGAAATAACAAGAGATCCTCTGACTCCGAATACGGTTGTATTTGATGAAAAAGAACAAGTAGAAATCTAAATTTGAGACACTCCTTGTGTTCCTAGTCATTTTAGATGCACAGCATCAGTTGCCAAGAGGAAAAAGCAAATCCAGACTACATTAGGAGGTACGCTCCACCTGAAGTGCTTACTAACGATTTTTATTCTGGAGATAATTTGAGTCTTTACTTTACCCAACTGCTGTGATAATGAAACTCACTTGCCAGTGCTTTTTTCCCAGCAGCATGATAAGCAATAATGTACTTTTTTCCATCTCGATCTTCTGTTTTAGTCTCCAGTCCAGGAAACAAGGACTTCACAGCCTGGTGGATAACTGTTCTTTTTTCTTTGGTGTCTTCAATTACCTGTGTTGACACACATGCATGCAGAAACCAAACACAGTAACACAAAACGGGAGGGATTCTTGCAGAGTTAAATTTTGCATACTTAAAGACAACCTACCAAATCACACTAAAGTGAATAGGTAAACTTTTATTTATTAAAATTAGTTTGAAAAATAGTAAATAACTGCTACCAACCCCAGTCTCAACATCCATGAAAGAAAATTATGAAAATTTCTGTTCTTAATAAAATTCCCTCTTCTAATGAAAACTCAGGCAAAATAAAGTTTTTCTATATGCATTAAAGAAAAAAAAAAGGATAGATAAGATTATTTAATGTGTGAATGCTTATTTGAAATGACACGATTTAATCCTACTCATCTGTGTCCCAATTTTAGATCAAGTTATCTTTCAAGTATATGTAATATCTGGATGATTAAAAATACCAAATTTTAATTTAATTTTGTACCTTCTTATTTTTCTTGTTAAAGAGTGTATTTATCTCCTTTTCTACTAAATCCCTAAACACTGACCTTGAAAATAGTCCTTCATCAGGATAGATGCTTTATTTAATCCTTCTCACATAATTATTCTATAAAATGCTACTAGACAGAAAACCAAAACACTGCAAGAAAGTCTAACACCACAGAAATTAAGGCATGTACTTGAGTTCATTGTACAGTCACACCAAAATCAAAATGCACTCATGTGCATGAGTGTGAGCACATCTGTAAGGTTTACAGAATTAAACCCTAAACTGGAAACATTTTGTTATTACCTGTTACATCATGTTCAAGCTGCTCTTACACCTTACATGCACTAGAAAGCACTCACCTTCCACTCACTAGCTCATCCTCCCCTCCTCCCCCTCCCAAACTTCAGATCATTGTTTCACTTTACCTCTATGGCAACACTAGTTTCCTTATTCTTAAGAAGCTGGAGCTCCTCTAAACGCTGCTTGTCGTCTTCTGACAAAACTGTAAATGTTTCTTCTGATGGGTCCTAATACACATTTTAGGGGGGGAAAATGAACATCCAATAATCACTCATGGAAAAACTTTCAGCCTTTTAATATTTTTGCTTGAAGAGCATGGCCATCACCAAATCTTTACCTCAAAATTTACCTCATCATCCACTGGAACAGAAAAGTCATCTAAATGGCTCACACGTCCATCTTTGCCTATTTCATGGACAACAAAGTCCGAGTATCTGACAGGAAGAAACACACATTAAATTCGTAATGAATTAACAAAACAATCCCACATCGCAAAGAGTCTTTTCCCAAAAAGATGTTTGTTAGCAGGATTCACTCAAGAATTCTGAATTCACATAATTCAATTCACATGAAAGAAACTTCAACCATGAGAAAGCTGTACTTATTCTCACCTCTTGGAAGGATACCATGAGAATGCAGATCAAAGTCTGGCAAGTCCAAACACAGCAGACTTCTCTGCAGGTAACCAGACACCTGCCATAGTTATTCGGAGTCATTTTCTCAGTAGCTTGCAGAAATCAGTAATGCGTATCCTCAATCCCAGTCATTAATGACAATTAACACTCTACTGCATTGCTACAATGCAAACTCAAATGCATTAACTTTGTCGCTTCCTTTAACTTGCAGAATAAAGTGTCTGTTAGCCACTCTTAGGAAAGCAGGACAAATTCAGCTCTGTTACATATATTCAATTACAAAAAGCATCTTTCAAATAAACAGTTACTCTGCATGACAGCAACAAAGAATTTGACTGTGACATTTTCGATCCAGTCACTATGTCCAATAATAAAAACATCCTGACTTTAACAGAGCACACACAGTCTATGTTGCAATTGCTAAATGTTTTAAGTAGCATTTGCTTGTAAAGGAAAAAAACCAACCAAACAAAAAATGCTTATCCTATGAATGTTGAAAGATGAATAAAACTTCCCAATGGGAATGTTCCTACTGTATCTCCTCCAAGCCTCCATTTCCCATACCCCTGTGCAGCCATATATCATATTGGCACAATTCCTTTGCAAGGAGTGTTATGTGACCTCCTCTCTTCTTATCTGTAGCCATCTAGATCTGCTAGTGACTGGTACCATAAAAACGCCAGGATTATATTAATGATAGGTGTTACAAATGAAGATCAAAGAAAAAACCACAAGCCCACAAACGTTTCTACCACCCAGCCACCTTTGGCCACCCGAGTTCAAAACTGGTAGATTTCACAGAAGGAGGTTCAGCACAGACTCTGTTCCCCAGTAAAGTATTATGCTAGCTGCTTAATGCTGCATATGAAGATTAAATACACACATAATATGTACGTTATGTTTATTATGTAACTTGATCTATATTTGAAGCCAGTATTTAAAAAACATGGACTTCTTGGTGCATAAACAGAACATCTTTAACTGCTTTGCTAAGTCAGGGCAACGGTGATTCTCACTTCAGTTTTGTATTTGCATTCTGTTTTATTCAAAGATGTTAGTTAACTTAAAAAAACGTAGAAGTTTCATTTTAAAAAAAAGCTACTAAAACCCAAATGTCTTATTAAGTATATAATGTAAAATTCCACACCATGAGTTATCAAAGCCCCGTTTAAGTTTTGTAACTATCATTACAGTTAATCAGACTATAGTTTAAAGCCTAATGGACCATCAGATAATATATGTGTTTAAAGACATCAGCATGAAAAAAGTCAGGGAGAAGCGAAGAACTAAAGAGGCACAGTTTCAATACCGCTCTCCATACCAGCATTGAGTGGTACAAAATGCGTGTATTGCATGAGGTTTTATGCTGTGTGCTGCTGCCAGAGCGCAAGACAAATGGCAAAGGTTAGTGGACTCACATATTTCTATCCATACACAGCTTCTTTCTTCAGAGCTCCATGTAATAGGAAAGAGAAAAAAAAAAGATAAAATCAGTCTAGAAAAATCCCAATTTAAACCTTTCTTTCAGCCTCAGCACTAGGAAAAGAAAATTATGAACCTCCTAAGTGGCCACACATAATCCAGCTACATCCTGTAAACCAGAAAAGGAAAATGAAGAACAACAGCTGCTTAACACAAGGAATTAACGTACATAACAAGACAAAGAGTTACCTCTCTTTTAAGATTCCAGAAAACCCTTTATGAGAGCTAACAAATTTAGTTATGCCAACATCACTTTCTGTCAGTCCATGCTTCATCATGTCTGCAAAGCTCTCTGGATCTCCATCTTCATCACTGTCTTCTAGTTCCTCATCTTCCTGCTCCTCGCTTTCCTCATTGGGAATTATTTCATTTTTCGTGACCTCAAGCAGAGGTTTGTCAGGTTGTTCTGTTACAGTCTCAATGCTCTGCCCAGAGTCATTCCCCATCTTAGACTTCTCTGAGAACTTCTGTCTTTTAATTTCATCTGCATTAGCCACATCATCCTCAGAGTGAGGACGTTTCAAGGATATGCTATTCATTTCTACAGTTTCCATGTTTAAGGCACAGTGTAGGATAAAAAGCCCTGAGAAGCACAAAGAATGGCTTATTTCCCGTCTGCTGGAGAGCAGTATCAATTCATGGTCTCTTCACTCCAAGGACTCTGCACCCTGCAACAGTTCAGAAAAACCATATAACTTCCTGCGTTTAAGTTACACATCATGTAAAGATTTTGTACAGCTAGAAACAGGATGTACTGGAGAAGAGAGAAGGGAGATGTTAAGAGGACGCAATACCCACCCAAGGCAGCATGCATGTAAGACTATGCAAGAGCTGGATTCAATACTACAGCAGCCATTTACCGCTGTCCTCACTCTCGCCAACTCTTCACAGCTGCACCCAGCCATGCACACACAGACTCTGCTGTTGATAGCAATTTGGTGCCTAAGAAACCATTTGTTCCCAAGCTTTCTGTTAAACATGTCTACTCTCACCATCTCTTTTCTATGTTCATCTCTTCTAGCACATACAATCCCACACAGAACTCATGGTGGCAGCAATTCAGACCAAAATATAACAGGGATGACATAACAAAATCGTTGAACAAGTGGGACAAACAAAACAATAAGCAAGTGAAATGGTCTCTGTGAAGAGCACGACTACTCACGCTGGTGGAGCAGAGCTCTGACTTCTCCCTGGCAATTTGAGCTGCCACCTTTGCATCAGCAGAACTAGTACCTTCAGATCTGAAAAAGAGGAAAATTAACTCTTTGACAAAGTTTTAGGCAAAAAAAAAGACGATTATGAAAACATGTATGAATGCAATCATTACAGAAACCAGCTCCCTCTGAACCCAGGTATCAGCAGTTGTGTAGGAACAGACACAACTACTCAGATGGCCAAGTTAATAACAAATAAAATTGTAAGAGCGTTAGCAACCTAGTGACATAACACAACATTGCCATTTAGCAAGCTATGACAGAGAAATTTGGGTTTATTTCTGTGTCTATTAGGCAACATCAGGACCTTTCTCCTTGCATCACCCAACCAGCACACCAGTGTGCTGGGAATAAACCACAGGTTATGGTAGCAGGGGGCTGCATGGGAGGAGGCCATCAACTGCCCTGCACTGGTCATGGCCAGCTCCAGCTGGCTCCATAGTGGACCAAACCCAGTGCCTGCCAAAACTCCAGTGTGTCAGATGAGCACATGGTGCCTCTGCTCCAGCTTATTTAAGAAAGAGAGGAGCTGCCAGTACCAGAAAGTGCATTGGAAAGCACAGGCGGTGGTGACACACTAGGAAAGACACAGGGGGAGGCATGAGGAAGAGCACATTGCTGGGGACGTGGCTGGAGGTGCACTCGTGGAAGGAGGCTCTCCACACCAAAGCAGGGACATCTCTGAGGGGGCTGCAGCCTGTGGAGGTGCCCACACTGGCACAGGGACACCCTTGAGGGGATCATGGCCCATGAGGGACCATGGAGGGACCCAAATGGGAGCAGAAGAAATGAGAAATAAGGAGCAGCAGAAAGAAACCTCCATGCACAAGTGTACAATCAATGCCTCTCCCAAGGGATAGAGTGTAACCTGTGGGGACAACCAGGGAAGGGGAGACAAGGAAAGCAAGGGAGGTGTCTGGAGTGAAGTTGAGCCTAGGGAAGTGGAAGGAAAGTTTTCCTCAACTGTTTGTTTAACTGGTTGTCTTCTTTGTATCTCACTAACCAAATCAGTACTTAGAAGTTTGTTAATCGGCAATAAATTAAATTAAAATTCTGCAGTCAAGACAGTTTTCCCACAAGAACAGGCAAGTTTCTGAATTCATATGATTCAACTGTTACTAAGAAATTAATCTAGGCACAGAGCAGTATTTTAGAGCTACACACATCATCCTGTATTATCTCTGTCAGCTCTGCAGCATATCCCATTTCATTTTAAAGGCTATGTTTTTAAAGGAAGACTCATTACTAACTTGATAATCACCATGTGCCGGGCTGTTAACTAACTGTTATCAGTCAGCTGTCAGCCACCACTGATTTCATTGCCCAGGCTTTCAGTTGTAGAGGTCATGAACTCCAGGTAAAGAGGCAGGAACAACTGTTTTAGAAACACCTGAAATGCTTTGCTTAAATGAAGAACTGAAAATGGACACTAAAGAATGGATGTAAGGGAAATAAGGAGAGACTTGTAAAAAGGTATATGTGATGCCTGAAGAGTGACAAAACATGCACAAGAAAGCACAACAATTAGCAAATCAATGTACCTTCAAGCAGAAGGCACCAATTTCAGTTTGTCCTCAAATAAAAAGTACCTAAAATCCTTCCTTAAAAATAAATAAATATAAAATCATAGCCAAGAGAAACAATTCACCAGCATTTCCAGACTCTTCTCCTGTGTTCCCAGATTTATGGGGACCGAATTATAAAGCACTGATGTGGAAAAGGCTTCTAGATGGCTTGCAAATGTCTCTGCATGGCAAACAAACCACCACGCAGCACAGCAAAACCCTCCAGACACCTGCCAAAGGCGGTAACAAGACAAATCTCGCGTTTCTAAAATAAAACTGTAATACCTGTAATTCACCTTTCAAATGACACAAAGCGTGACAAATATTCCACATTGGCCACAAACACTCCAGAGTTGTCAGATACAGCCTATTCTCACAGCAGGGGAATGACTCACATACAACAAAGTACCATCCTGTGCCAAATGGTGGCCATCATCTGGAAAAGTTTCTGGAGAGTAATTACTTGAAGGAGCAAGCTGAAGTGAGTGTAGCACATGCTGTCTCACTTGTGCAAATTGCTAGTGAGAGGCATCCATTATTTTTTGACAGCTGCTCAATCGTCTCAGCCTTTTTCCTAGCAAACAGGTGTTTCCATAAAAGCCAGAATCTGCATAAACAGTAACTCTGCAGCAATTTCAACAGAGACCATGTTTTAGCAGAGACCGAAGTTACTACTACAAATAAAAGGCTTGATTCTCCCCAGCAAGACATGCTAAGCTATTACTTCTGGTGTGGTACCTGTTAGGGAGACACACACAGGCTGGTCAGGGCCATGGGGTATTTCCCACTTAAAAGAGCAAATAAAAGAGGAGCATGCCACACTAGATCCGAAGCTGGTTTCTCATGAGACGAGGCAGATCGGATTAAAAGGCGAGGGATGACAGGGCACGATGATACAGCAGCCCCGAGAGCAACCCCTCCAGGCGGGGGCAGAAGGCAGCA